GTTGGACGTAAGTTGCAAAAAATTTTTTTGTTGTCACTTAGTTTTATCTATGCAGAACCAAATAAAAAAAGAATTGGCAAGATAACTGTTCATTTGACAAAAATATAAGCAAATGCACTGATGCCTATTAGTTGTCAAAAGTATGAATTTCATTTTCTTCATCTTAATTAATGAATTTTTTAAACATTTTTTTATGCTTACTTAATTAATATAATTAATGTTTGGTTACACCACTTTAGGCATCAAAGTTTTACTAAGACAAAAATTTTGGACTACATTTAGTACAGTGGGCACAAAAATTTTCTCTTAAAATGAGAAAATTATATTAATTAATGAAGAGACAGAAAATTGAAAGAGACAGGAAATTGGAAATTGTAAGTATTCAACAACAAATTTTCATATAATATACATATGAATATATATTTTTTTAATTCATTAAGTATATCATTTAATATATACCTCTATTGTATTTATAATAACCTAAATTCCTTACTTTCATTTAGATTGAATCAATGAAAAAATCTTGTCGGGAAATGTTGCCAATATTGAAACCATCTTTAAATGATGATAGCGAAATGCTATAAATTATTTTATATAATAATATATATTTTTATATACATGTTAGTTTTAGTTAATTTTAGATGTGATAAGTTATATTAAGTTAATTATTTAAATTAATTTTCATTATGTTTACTAGTTTTTGAGTTTAATTGTTTCATTTACTTTTAAAACTTCTAATTTTGAATGTAATGTAAAAAATTATTATATAAAATAAATAAAAGTACAAAATACAACAATTTCTTTCTACTTATTTAAAGAGAAAATTGAAATTTATTTAAAATTTAAAGAGCGCAATAAAAGAGTAGAAATAAAAAAAAGGGTGCAAAAAATTATATGAGCACTGCACTAAGAGCGCACAACTTTCTGTCAAATGCGTCTGTTATGCAAGACATGGTCTTCGAGACAGTCTTCGAGACATGTACGCAAAAATTCATTGAAGACATTTGGCTAATATGTATGAAAATGTATTCGAAGACCGTCATATATTTGTATCGATCGGTCTTCATGAATGTATCCATGTCTTGAAAGCGTCTTCGATGACGGATCGATCCGTTTTCTACTGGGATGTAAAATCCACACACATATACAAACATATTATTAATACACTTTTCAAGTCACATAATTTGTGTAACTGCACAAACGTTTATATTCACAAATGTGTACACACACTTTTAAAAACTATAGACATAGACGTAGAAGTGAAGTCTGCAACATCACAATGAGTAATGATGATAAAAATAAGAAGCTGGAATAATCACTTTTTCAACAAACACATATTTCCTCAAATGTGGCATGCTGCTTATAAAACTGGCATCAAAGCGAGTTGAAGTGATCACGAGACACATTAGTGTAGCTTGTAACGCAAGGATGCATGAGAAAACCTAGGCAGCAGACAGAAAGTTTGCTTACTGATGAAATGAAGAAAATTTAAAAGGAAAAAGCGACTGTCTCTAAGCGAGAAGAAAAGCACAATTGGTAAGATATAGAAAATACTGTCTAAAAGTTTAGAGAACATCAAAAATATCTTGAAATGACAATAACAACCAACAAAAATTCAGTATTCCAATAATATGAAATACGATGCAAGATGGAATTTTAAAAGTAATTCTGCTTACAGAACCACCCTATTTGATTATGTGAACTTTATTGTACTGGTTATTGAAGAATTCGCAACAAAAACAAATCGTTTAAGATGCTTTATTTAAAAAGTATAAGCAATATATGCGAATATATAAAAAGTACGAAAAAACAAAAAAGATATAATTGCATACAGATGCAATCATAAGTACGGGATATAAACTTTAAACCTTCAAAGCTGAAAAAGATAATGGGACCCTATCATGAATCATGACAAATATAATTGAGCTGCTTTTAAGCGGACGAGCTCCATTACGTTATATATGTACCGATCGAAATAAAGACAACACATCGTTCAAGTGCACAACGGGGTATCTCTTACACATTTGTCAGACGAATGTCGTCATAGTTATTAAGCCAACAGTAAATATTGTGATGCATGCCAATCTACTCTAAACTACCAAGAATTTCCAAGGACATTCAGAGAAATCGCAGCATCCAGGAGTATCGGCATTGAAAAAAGGCAGGTGGATGTTTGCTTTTATTACAGATATTACGATATGGATAAACCGATAATATGATAATATAAATTTCTACCTAACAGGCTTAGTGAAAATAGGTGCTTTAACTGATATCTTCATCGCTCTAAACACAAAGCTAATCCATTTTACCTTAGTTGCACAAGTGAAATAGATTACAACAAGCATATTTTTTTCAGAATATATAATTTTGTAGACGTGGAACAAAAAATTTAAGAATTTTGAGCATGTGAAAAATGTCTAGAAAACGAAAAACGATCAACTCACAGATACTGAACTTTATTAGTTGAGCAGAAAATTTCAACACAGCCTCTTAATGAAATATTTAATATTGTTAAAGTAAGTGACTGACTCAAGCTTTCGAGACTATAACCTTTGTTAAAAAAAAAATACTTGTTTTGTTCAAATTTATGTACAGAATTAAAAAAGTTCTTCCTTTTATTAACATATACTACCATACCTTCTGCTCAAAAAGTACCCTGATTTTATAAATAAAACACACAAATTTAAATTTTATTCCAAATTTATTTTATCTCCTTCAAAATATGCTCTTTCTGAAGCGATACACATATGCCAACGCTTAACCCAATCTTCCATACATTTTTCTTAGACTCGTGCAGGTATATATTTTAGCTTCTTCAGCGAATTCTCTTTTACCGATTCAATCGACTCAAAACGATTATCACGAATATGGTGCCTGACCGATGACAGTGGTGCCGTGTGTGGCACCAACAACAAGAGCCGTGTGCAATGGAGCATTGTCGTGGTGAAGAATCCAATTGTTAGCTTTCCACAGATCTGGTCTTTTCTTACGGATCAACTCCCGCAAATGCCGCATAACGCCGAGGTAATATTCTTTATTGATGGTATGAAATTCTGGCGAAAATTCGTAATGAACAACACCGCGGTAGTCGAGAAAAGCAGTGAGCGAAATTTTAATTTTAGAGCGACTTTTGCGCGGTTTTTTGGGTTTTTTCTCGTTTTCGAAGCGCCATTCGGTAGATTGTTGACTAGTTTCGACATAATACTCATAAACTCATGTCTCATCACCTATTATGATGCGTTTCATGAATGTAGAGTCGTTTCCATGCTCAAAAATCATTTCTTCACACACGTTCTTTCGTATATTACGTGTAATTTCTTTGCAAAAAATCAAGGTGTTTCGGTACAAGTCGAGCTGCAACGCGTCTCATGCCCAATATATCATGTAGAATGTGGTGAACGGATCCATTTGAGATGTTTAAGTTACGAGCAATCTCCTTTTCAGTCGTACGACGATCTTCCAGCACAATTTTCTTGATTTTTGCCACGTTTGCATCGGTATTTGATGTTGATGGAGGTACAGAACGAGGCAAATCTTCGATCACTTCACGACCCTCTTTGAATGATTTATACTCGTCGTATGCCTGTGTTCGAGACATAGAAGAGTCCCCGTAAGCTTTTTGCACCATTTTCAATGCTACAACACATGAAATTTCGTTCAAAACACAAAATTTCAAACAAATTCGTGGTTCAACTGAATTTTCCATGGTAAAAATCGCTAAATGCACTTGAGGTAGTCTTACATTAACAGCTGCTGTAAACAAACTAATTGAGAGATGGCGCTCAAATTTGTACCATATGTCAAGAAAGGGTCTACCAACATACAAAAACCAAATTTTTTGAAAAAGATCTATTACTTAAGTATTTAACAAAATCCGGATACTTTTTGAGTAGAAGGTATATATTCTTTATTATGATATGTTATTTTGTTTGTAAAACCTGTTTAAATACTTTCATATTTTTATTTATCATCTATTTATATTTATTTTAAGACGGTAAGTGTAGTGTATCTATGTACCGCTATACACAAATGTTTTATATGATTTCCCAAAACAAAATAAAACTCAAATTTAACGATAGTGTGAACGCAACTAACTGATAACCTGGCGCTAGTATGAATAGATTCTGTAATCAATTGTTTCAATTCAAGATCTTAATTTATAACCAGTCTCATCTAAAGTAATGCAACAATGTTCTCAACTTTTCATGTCTCTTTTAAGTGCTCCAGATGGAATAAATGAATGTGTTGTTGCATTTATAGCGAACGCAACACCCATATTATACAAAATTTTCAGAAATTCAAAATTTGAAATAAAATATGGCTTGAGGTCTTTGATATATTTGTTTAAACTTTAATATTTATTTATTCATTAAATGTATCTTATTTATTTCAAATTTTTAAATAGCAGATTTTCTCTGCTACCCTTAAGTCTTAACAAATAATGTATTTATTCTCAGTCACTACACCAGCGATATACAATTTATACTGTATTTCCTCGAGAGTTTTGTTTGTAATTTCAGCTGTCAATTGTTGTTGCTTTCAATAAAAATTTTTGACAGCCAAAATTATAAACAAAAGTCGTGCAACTACAATATTTGTTTAAATTATCCACATTCCTTAGGATTTTCAACTTTGTGCAATTTCAACACCATTTCGATATTCATATGCACCAAAACTAAACACAAAATTTATGTGTTTCTTAATATCGTTAAAATTTTATTTCTCAATATTAATTCGAAGTTTAATAAAACATAATGCAATATTATGTAATTTTTGCATTTGCGGTCTACTTTTACATTCTTTTACATAATTTTATATTAACCAGATGCATTAACAGTGAATATTTTTATTATAAACCGAAAAAATCTTCAAAAAATAATCGTCTAATATTATTAATATTAGTTCCATTACATAATAAACCTATCTGCAGAAGGTTTAAGACTTTAATTAGGTAAAGAACTACCAATTCTTTACATACCATTATTCCGTCGAATACATACCATCTGATTTGTTAAGTAGAATTTTCGGTACAACAGAACACGAGATTCCCTCCTTATTTAAACTATATGAATGCTCAGCTTTAATTGGAATGCCATTCAGTAAAGCATCTGAAATAAGTTTGTCGTAGAAGGTATCCTTAATGTCTTTGTCCGCAAACCAGTCACTAATATTGTGTTCAGATGATATTTTTAAGGTTTCAGTCTAAAAGGAAAACAAAAACACTTAACAATTATTTATTTGCATTATGAAAGTGTCATAAGTCGTTAAAGGTCTATCATTGAATTGAAATTAAATATTTTATATTTTGTGTTTACATATCTTATACATTTTATATATCTGTGCATAATATGTTATAATGAATATTTTATACAATGTTTTAAATTGGCAAAAATGTACATTACGTGATATATACGCGGTTCCTGAAATCTGTCGTTTATGTCAAACTAACTATTATTTTGTTGGTGTTAATGGAATAAAATTTCCGTTTGTATTATTCTGTACTAATTATTTACCTAGTACGACAACTAAAATTACCTGTCAATAAATTAAAATACATTTCGAAAATAAAACTCTTATAAATTTTAGACAACACATTTATTAATATAAATTAAAAAAATTTACTAACATGTGTCATATGTTATTGCTTACGTTCAAGAAAATGCTAACGCAATCAGCCTTTTGAACGACATGTCCTTTTCTGATATCTCATCATCTTCGATTGAATAGTAGTTAATTACTATTGAAGACAGGATCTAACGTAAATGTTTCGATTGAATCTACTGGAAAAAAAATTGATGACGACCATAGCGTCCAATTTAAAATGATGTGGTTGGGTATGCTTTGTATCATATCGCTGTTGGTTTGTTAGTTCAGTAGTCTTTCCTCTAATTCGTTTTAATGTTTAACACTTCGTTTAATAATGTGTGTGACTAACTAATTAAAACACATTTTTTGCCAAAATTCGTTTTTATTTATCAACATAGTCCCCTTTTAGGGAGATACAATCATTTCAACGCTTTTGCAATCTTTCGATTGCATTGTCTTGGTTGAACAAAACTGTTTTCTTCGCCATATGAGGCCGTTTCTTTGCGATTTCGTCTTTCAAACGCTCCAATAACGCTATATAATAGTCGCTGTTGATGGTCTTCCCCTTCTGGAGATAGTCGATAAATATTATTCCATGCGCATCCCAAAATACAGACGCCATAACCTTGCCAGCCAACTGTTGCGTCTTTGGTCGCTTTGGGCGGCTTTCACCGGCTGCATGCCACTCAGCAGACTGCCGATTTGACTCTGGAGTGAAATGGTGGATCCATGATTCATCCATCGTGATGTACCGACGCAAAAACTCCGACTTATTGCGCGTAAACATGTCCAAACAGCTCTTTGAATCATCGATTCGTTGTTGTTTTTGCTCCGGTGTGAGCAAACGCGGCACCCATTTGGAAAACACCTTTTTCATACCCAAATGTTCATGTATTATGGTGTTAACTGCCTGCTGATATCTGTAGAATGTCAGCAATCCCCTCACTTTCACTCACTTTCATTTGGCCGTCCAGTAGATGGAATGTCATCGGTGTCTGTACGACCACGTTTGAATTCGGCATACCAATAACAAATGCTTCTTTTTGATGGAGCAAAGTCCGAATAATGTTTTTCAAGCCATTCCTGGCATTGAACAGTATTTTTTTTAATTAAAAAACAATGATAAATCAGCACACGGAATTGCTTTGAATTCAGTTTTGTTTGAAAACTCAAAAGTAGCGTCATTTAAAGCACTGTAACTTGTAAACAAATGGTCGGATTAACATATAATTTTCACAGTAAGCCTAGAAAAGTTGCCACTTTCAAAAAAAAATATTTATTTAGTATTAGTGCCGCCATCTATATGTCAGTCACACACATTATTGAACGAAGTGTTATGTTATTCTGTATTATGAAATGATATGAAATTTAAAAACCAAATCAATTACAGCAAATTTTGTAGTCGAGCTAGCACTCATCTTTATACTCGTTTAAAAATATAATTACTGCTGATCTTATTCTCTTTCATTCTTCTGCTTCCCTCTTAGACCACCGAATAGAATTTTGTTTACTTTCTCCACGCAAACATATGTACGCTGAGTATGCACAGCAATGACGATCTATTGTGAAGATCAGTTAAAATTAATGAAAAATAATAAACTTGCTTTTATACTTTATATAATTGACTTGCTATCTGACACAGAATTCTCTTTTATCTGCGCCAACGTGTTACAAAAACTTCTTTCTATATGGATCCTGTTTTTCATGATACCTAATTTTTATCAATCGAAGTTATTATGAAGTCTTTATTCGCCCCTAATAGCTATTCCCCTGGTGTTTGAAGTACTGCCTGTCTGCTCATACTACCTAGAGTGGCATATGTTCACCTGCACGGTTGTAACATTCTAAATTAAATTCAATGCAGTTTTAACCACAGGGTGTTGTACTGGATACTTCAAGAGTAACTACGGTATTGCAATCTCCTTTCGCTGTTTATCTCCTTTCGCGAAAGTTACTAGATACCGATTACTCAAAATTAACTTTGTTGACAGTTTTTCGAAATTTATTTGGTATTCCACCTCCTCACCCACGAAAAAAACCCTTACAATAATAGGCGGGTAACCGTTTAATTTATTATATTTTATTAAACTTATAAAACTGTTCAATATTATATCTAATAGCTTTTTTCGACTTTATGATCTACTTTTATGATCTACTGAACACTTCGAGTAGTCCATTTAAAATGCCGATAATAGCAACATTTATCAAATTCTAGTTTTTTCAGTTTTATTTTAATATACAGTAAAGACGATCAGTTAGATATCTTTTAACTACTTAATACATCAAATAATGAACATATTTTATATAATCATTTCCAATATACATATATGCGGTGGTCATTCATTATTGGTATGCAGTGTATTTTGCAGGGTTCAGTAAAGCACTGTGCTGTGCACAAAAATGCAAAGCACCACGCACAAATGTTGTGCGATAGACCTTGAAGCGTTCTTGGCCAGAGACAATTTCTTACAGCGCTCTCGTCGGCGAACGACTGAAACTGGGCAATCTCTGGCAGAGTCTTATCTAGATATAAGAGACAAATACCTTAATGAATGGCAACATAGGTGGGACCATTCCCAAAAATCAAGATGGACGCATTCGTTAATTCCAAATATAAGAGTTTGGATTAACCGAGGATCTGGAGACTTGGGATTTCAATTAACACAGTTTCTTACGGGGCATGGCTGCTTCCGTGAATACTTATACCGGTTTAGGCTAGCAAGTAACCCGTACTGCCAGTCCTGTCCAGATAAAATTGAGAGTCCTGACCACATAATTAGAGAATGTATAAGATTCGTAGATACTAGACAAAATCTAGAGACACTAATTGGGGAATCCAGCCCTTCTACTATGGTAATGCAGATGTTGGCAAGCATCGAAGAATGGAGCTTTTACAAGAGCATAATCTCTAGAACAATAAATACTGTTAGAGCGGACGAAATACTTAGTACACAATCGGAGTGAATGCACGCTAAGTGCTCTTCTAACCTGCCCTGTGAAGGAATACCTTAATTGGTCGTACTGCAGGGATTTTCAGGATTTTGAGTTGAGAATGTAGGGGACTTTTTAGTCCGTAGGCATGTATGACTCAATTTGAGCCGTGCATGAATCGGGCATGCAAATGGTACGGGCCATTTGTATCTTTTGAAGATTTTTCCCCCAGGTCCGATACCAAAAAAAAAAAAAAAAAAAAAAATGTTGTGCGATTCTAAATAAAATTTCACACCACAAATGCACATCTTAAGTGCACATCTTGTGTGCATAAACAAAACGCACATTTCACACAAATGTGGTGGAGTGAAATAAAACTCGCACACACATTCGGTGTTTGTGCCGAAATTATTTCGCCCAGCACATTGTGTGTGCGGCAGCCAGCTTACCCACGCACACAAAGTGTGCAGAAAAGAATTCGGAAAGCACATTTTGTGTGCAGACTCGAAAATAAAAATGCACCCAAATGTGCGGAGACGAAATGTCTACTGCACATTTGTGTGAAATGATGATTTCAAAGCGCACAATATTACGATGAATAACGCAACAAAATAGTATAAAAGACTGATTTGCATTAATTTTCGTCTTAAGGCGAAATATTTTGTTGAAAAAATGATTTTATATTTATATTTTAATTTTGAATTTATTATTAGATCCACATTTATTGCTTATATTACTTATTATTTTAAGGTTTATTAATTTAAAACATGGGAATAAAGTTAATTTCACAATGAACTTGAAGACTTTGTTATAATTTAAAATATAAATAGTTTATGATATATGAGTTAAATAGGTACATGAATTTAATAAAGAAAGAGTATTTGTTTCGAAATGTTATAAGTAAAGAGTATCGGTTCTACATATCTCACTTTGAAAATATTAAATATATCATAAAATTTTAATTATCACCTAATCATCACTTAAAAATTAAAATAAACACGATAGAGTATTGCTTTTGTCCTTTAAGGTGTAAGTGCCTGAGGCTTAATTTGTTTGTTTTTTACTTAAAAGTATTTTACCTAATCTATTATTAGTATTCATTCATATATTTCTGTGGAAACTAATTGCTTTGTATTTAAAAATTTTGTGTCCTACCAAAAGAGTTAAAAATTTTACTTCCTTTTCATGTTTTTTAAGTTCACATTAGCAAATCTAAGCATCCTGCTACCTGTTCAAGAAAATATTTTCCTAATCTTTCGTGTTTTTTATTAAAAGTTAGGTACTCTACCTATGTAAATATATATTATTTGGGAATAAAAAAATCTTTCTAAAATATGTTTTTATTTCTTTTAAACTGGTGCAAAACTTACCAAATAAATACTTTAAGTTCACTTATTAAATTTGCATTTAAAAATGCACAAAAGTTGGGAAGTAATAAACAAAAAACTAATATTTTAAGTTAAAATACAAATAAAGTTAAGACAGTTATAATTTTTAGTCAACATTATAAATATTTAACAAAAATAATTATTTTAAATATTTGTTAATTTATGCAATTTTAAACATAAGTTACGATCCCAACGAACATAAATATCAATTTTTTCAAAATTTGCAACAAAATAATATTTTCTATTTTAAACAAAATTGTGAAATTCATGTAATTTTTTTCCACCCTTGGGTGCAAGAAGAAAATCGCACATTAGCGCACATTTGTGCAATCGCACAATTGTGCACATTTGTGCAATCGTAATATTAGAACAGAGGTAGAGCCCTATTAGAGACATTCACCTCACTAAACCTAACACAACTTACAAAGGGCATAGCCCAACGTTCAATAATGGTAGAGGCGTAGCCTACATAGACCTCACCTTCGTCAGCCCGTCATTAGTAAGGTGTTCGCAATGGAAAGTAACGAGATCCTCCCGGTTACAGATTCTGAAGTCATAGGCGCTTCTTTCAGAGTTAAACCCAATAAATCTTCTGGATTGGATGGAATTCCCAATACCGTATTGAAGAAGACAATACTAAAACAAGCTGCTATATTCAGGGATGTTTTCAACAGCTGCCTACAAGAAGGAATTTTTCTTTCGTGTTGGAAAAAGCAAAGATTGGTGCTTATTCCTAAAGGTAATAAGCCTTTAGAACTACCATTGTCTTACAGACCTTTGTCTTACAGGCCTACTGGACACTGCAGGTAAGGTCCTGGAAAGAATTATATGTTCTAGATTAGAAAAATTCACGGAGGCAAGGCAGGGTCTGTCAAATAATCAATTTGGCTTTAGACCTAAACGTTGTACTGTTGATGCTATATTACATGTATGCAACATTGCAAATGAATCTACTAAGGGCTTAAGGTAGCTATGTGGTACCAAAAAATACTGCGCGGTGGTGACCTTAGATGTTAAAAATGCTTTCAACGCTGCTGAGTGGAGTAGCATCTTAAATGCACTGTTAAAAATAAAAGTCCCAGAACATCTTTTAAAAAGAATTACATCATATTTTAAAGACAGAATACTCTTATATAATACAGACTCCGGACCCAAAACATATAAGATTACAGGAGGGGCTCCCCAGGGATCAGTTCTAGGGCCAATTCTTTGGAATATCATGTACGATGGTATCCTTCAAATTAAAAAGCCAGACGGAGTAAACGTAGTTGGGTATGCAGATGATATTGCAATAGTAGTGGTCGCAAAAACTCTAGATGAAGTGGCTAGGAATTGCAACGCTACTATTGCAGCAGCTAAATCGTGATTGCAAAACAGCGGATTAGAGCCTGATAAGCATAAAACTGAGATGCTGTTAATTAGCAATAGGAAAAGGATAAAGCAACTCTCAATTAAAGTGGGTGGCGTAGATATACAATCTAGCCCACAACTTACGTATCTTGGTGTTACCCTTGATAGTAGGTTGAATTTCAAAACTCACCTAAAGCAATCGGGAGACAAAGCCTCACGTGTTTGCAACACATTGGCCGGGTTAATGCCAAACATAGAAGCCCCCAACGACACAGCTAGAATTCTTTAAGCAT